TTACACGTCATTGCTTGATGTAACGTCCTTTTTTCCCTTTATTTTCAAGCTATCATCTTTTCCCTATATTAACCGTTACTGATTCATATATAACTAATGCATAGACACAGCTGATGCAGTTCAAAATTTATGCATGCACAACCGACAGACGCCACTCAGTAGCCTGTTTCAAGTAGATCACAGATAAGTAAAGAAAAAAATAGTCAATGGATGTCACGACCTCACAATTGAATTTTCATGTGATACTTTAATATAGATATTTCTGTTAAAAGGTATATGAACTTGCGTGGAAGGGGATGGTTTAAGTATATGAGGAGGTTCTGAGAAGTTCTGGGATCAACCAAGATGGCTTCGCTTCCTTTGATTTTGCCTTTTGTCATTTCTAATAATGTCGGATCAGGAACTTTTATCACTCCTTACATATCTGTCTAGAAGTCTAATTAATACCGGTATACTTACGCATAATATATATATATATATATATATATATATATATATATATATATATATATATATATATATACTACATTTTCCGTCCTGGGTAAGTCGATATACTACATCTAGCAACATGGCCTCTGATCAGGAGGTTTTGAGGAGCTCTGACCCGGGGTGCTAGCACCTGTTAGGGTCCCAGCTACAGGTAAATAGTTAACCCCCAAACTGGGTTCAAAACACTATAAAAATGTCAAAATTATTAGCAGCAATAAATTTTTGAAGAAAAATTATTTCCAGCAATACATTATTAACAGCAATACAATTTTGAAAAAAAATATTACCAGCAATACATTTTTTGAAAAAAAATTACAAGCAATAAAAATTTTGTCGGCATTAAATAACCCCTTGAGAATGATATGCCGTAAAACAAATCAAACCAAACACTACATTTCAAAAGCCATTGTCACCGAGGGTTTGAACGTGCTGACCTTGTTCAGACTGTTTCTGACCTTGATAACGCCTTCTCCCCCAGAAACTGTAACTAAGGTCTGCTCAGCATAGTTGTAGTATAAACCACATATGGGCATTGTTGATGTTGAACAAATGCAAACGTACCTGAGCAGGTGTCTGAAATGGAGATTAGCTAACCGCCCTAGTAGACTGGCATCCTTGGATACAAGTCGATGTGCCTTTTAGCTTTACAGTTCAAGTAACTTGTTACTGCAAATAAATATTCTTAAAGACTTCTTTTTCTTATATTTTTATCAGTGTGGCATGTATATGAAACCCTTACCGTCTCATATTATATATATATATATATATATATATATATATATATATATATATATATATATATATATATAGTTTATGAAAAACTAGGTAATCCGTATGGGTAAACCTAAGGAGGATAAAATCCAGAGAGCTCAATGTAAATTCAGAGCAAATAATTTAAATAAAAACAGACCACTTTAAGGTTCCATGTAATAAATTATTTCACCACAGCCCTTTTAGAAGGATTGCGGATCATCAGACTTTACTTCCAAACAAAAAATGGAAAGAAAATTTACACATTTTTGACGGGCCGTATTAAACATATGTAAATTAACGAAGTGAGGAAGTGAGTGGGGAGAGAGAAGACATGAGTGAGTATATATATATATATATATATATATATATAAAGTAGGACCTCGCAGTACAAAGTTAATTAGTTCCCAGACCGAGCGCGTATTGCAAATTACACATATTACAAAGCATTTCTTTTTAAAATAATTAATGGAAGATTAATTAATCCATTTCAGTTCTCCCAAAGCATCCAAAATGTCTATTTTCAAAATAGAAAACGGACCCTAAGAAATTAAATCAGAAAAGTACATGTATGAACATGATAAGAGAGAATAAATGAAATAAACATATTTTATTAAACTACAAATCTTTCATAAGAAAGTTTCTCGCGTTTTCACTCAGAACTTAAGGAATTTTATGGCATTTGATTCGTCTTCAGCAGTTGGAGCTCATTTCTTTATAAAACTTTTCAACAGAAATCTGTTCCGTTCTTGATTTCAAAATTGTTCTGCATGATATTTGTCCACAAAGTCGTTCACTTTTTTCCATATCATCAGCATTTCTTTAATCTCACTCGTGATGTCAGCCTCCGAGACACTTTCCTCCTTGGAGAGCTCCTTTACATTCTTCATGTTTTGACGTCACCTCCTCTCCGTGCTTGCCGACGAGCTCATCAACGTCGACCACGTTAACGCCGAGGCCCAAAGACTTGCCAAGAGATACTATCTCCTTGACTCGGGTTCCTCTGTCGCGAAATTCTCATAATCTTTGTCACAGACGCATTCAGACCACAGCTTCCTCCATGCAGAATTCAGGGTCCTCCTCGCCACATCCTACCTTATATATATATATATATATATATATATTCTCATACAATAACACTGCACTTATATTTGCTGGTAATAATGACAAAGTCTTTCACCCTCAAAAAACAGCAATCGACCAATGTATTTCTGGAGGGTAATGTTTTAAGGCCAGGTTGTTTCTCATTGTTCAATATCAAGAGCATTTATAGCATTAAATAAAATTAAAAATTCAACTAAGTTCCCCGACTCGATTTTTCGCAGGGGAAAGCAGAACATTACCTACCTGGATGGCGGATCAATTTTTAGGAGTGATAACAAATAATTATTAAGAGCTAATTATTATGGACAGAAAGTTGTGGGAGGCCATGATTACCAATGTCATGAAGCGACACGCATATACGACAACCACAACAACAACAAGAATTATTATTATTATTATTATTATTATTATTATTATTATTATTATATAAAATTTGCCCGTCCAAGTATAATCATTTATATGCTGCAAAAATGGCCGGTTCATTTTACTGCCACAAAAAACATTTGACTTAATTCCGCCATGCTCTTTACAAGAGTCGAATTAGATTTTTTTAAAAAAATAGGAGTATTTATGCTTTATCTTGCCTGGAACTTCGCAAACCTCACTTTCAAGCCTTTACAGAATTTACGCAATATTGTAAAGATTGCATATTTTCCAGCCTGCAGTCTCTTTCTCACAGATGCAATGGTACAAGCATGTCGCTATTTCCATGGCAAACGTTCGGCGAAACTCCATTCCTTAATTCAACTATTTCAAACATGCTACTTACACGGCAACGAATCAAATTAATGCCTTCCGTATTCGAAGTGTAAAGAAAAAGTTCCACTCAGTCAGTTTTTCCCCCAAGATCACTACGTATGTTTTCCTCAGCACTACAGTCTTAACTTCTTCAAATCAAACGTTATCTATATCCTATATCGTCATAATCTTCACTTCCTATTTCTTACTCTTGCATTCATATCACGTACCTCATTGCCTTGATTGGCCCTTTAGCATGGTATACTACTTAGATCAGTAATAAAAATTCTGGGAGAAATTAGTTAGTTTTTGGTAGTATCCCATTTGTTATAAAGAGCGTAGGAAGCCTTCTGTAGTTATTACTAGAGATGTATGAGCAGTTGACATAAAACTACTAATTTTTCAACGGAAAGTACTTTTTTTAAAAATTTTCCGTGAGTGCTGCCGGATGATAAACCGTGATACCAGGATCTGACATCTAATATGGGCTTTTAGGCCTTTACGTACTTGAAAGGGTTTTACGAATTTTCTAAAACTAATGTAAATATTTATATCTGATACTCTGGTAGCAAATTTTAACAGAAACGCCTTCAACTTGAAATGTTGCAAGTTCTAATGCACAGTGTCTGGTGCATCTACAACTTGCAAAATTTGACAACATCGCCTTTTATATAATATTGGTCTTTTACTCTTACGAATTCTTTTTAATTAAAAAAAAACAGAAGTTTCAATTCAATGTATATTTTCTTTTATCTTATTCTCTTAGGTTAAATCATAAGTAATTTCCTTAGGAATCAGTCATAAAGACGAATGCATCATCTTAAAAATTAATCATACTTGTCACATAAAAATGCAATTTCAATACAGTAATATGCTTGAGATCTTGCACGGCTAGAAGCGTATACATTGGATTAAAAAATAAATTTCTTTGCCCCACTAATGACAAGGTTGAAAGTACATTTACACCATATAATATTATGGGACTTCAAGTAAGAGAATAACGCTGTGTAGACAAATAGAATAATATTGGTCAATGAATTGGCCGGGAAAGAAATTGGCTTGCAAAGTTTCGTTGCAAAATTTTGGAGGAACATCGTTGGAATATAAAACCAAAGCAGAGCGTTCATCTTATTTTGATGCTGATGCTTTAATAGCATTAGTGGAAAGCAATCCTCTGCAAAGTATTCGGCAATTAGCGAAAGATGGCGAAATTTTGGGCACTTCGACGTTGCGTAATGCTTAGCAATTCTTGATCATTATGACTAAGTAGTGAGTTCGATCCTCACTTTCGGCTTTGTTCCACATCTAAGCTCAGCTTAGAAAATCGTTTGGGCACTCGACGTGGTGTAATGGTTAGCAAGCTTGTCTCACTGAATCAATTACGACTGAATAGTGAGTTCAATCCTCACTGGATGCTCCAGATTATCGGTTTTGTGCCACATCTTAGCTACGATTAGAAGATCACTATAGTGTACTTCGACGAGGTGCAATATTTATTAAGCTTGTCTCGCCAGATCAATTACGACTGAATAGTGAGTTCGATCTGGATGCTCCAGATTATCGGTTTTGTGCCACATCTTATACGATTAGAAGATCACTATAGTGTACTTCGACGATCCAAGCTTTAGAAAATACCCTGAATAGTGAATCCTCACTGGGTACCCTATACTTTCGGCCTTATGTAAGAAACTTAGAAAAAGATAAATCGCGGAAAGATCAGGGAAAGTCAGAAAGCCAGGTGTTTTCGTTCTACACTATCTTTACGAAAAGAAAAAAGCGGATCGTTTATACAGAGAAAGAAGTCTAGTTCTTTAAATATATCATAATATGTGATAGAAAATAGATTAAATACGACAAGGTTGAATGCAAACATGTTGCAGGCAGTGGACTGACAAAGATAAGTCCTAACAGCTAGTCATTACGGCCATATCACGTTGAAACACCGGTGCCCGTACTATTACCGAAATTAAGCAACGTTGAACCTGGTTAGTAGCTAGATGGGTGACCGTTTGGAAATACCAGGCGCTATAATCTTGGATGTGCTCGTTGTGTAACGGACAATTCCAGTTGGGTTCGTTATATTCACTTACGCGCAAATACTCTTGGGAAAGGTATGAATCTACAACTTCTCCCCCAGCTATGGGTTAATTAGTATCACTAAAACCATTATTATCTCCCAAAATTAAAATAAAGATTTGCTTACAAAATATTTAGATTCCGGTATTAAATAACCCATAGATGTCGATATGCCACTAAATAAAGTCAATGAAAGCACAACCTAACAACCAACCACTAATGGTGAGCTCTATAAAAGAAAGTTACTATTGTGCGTGTGTTGAGATCATCCAAGTATTATTAATTTGGAGTTCTTAAAACGCAATGAAAGACTAAATGCTTATTTATACGTCCAGCAGCTGTAACTTGTCCATAAAAGTTTGGTTGACACGTGCCTTGCGCTCGTTAATAAGAACAATGATTTTTTCTTTTACTCCCACATGACAACGCAAGGCCACACACAGTAAGAATAACGCATTTGAAAACAAAATGGAACACGGTTTCTCTGTTTTGTCCATCTGTTCTGTTCGCCTGACCGCCAATTGATTATTATCTTTTTGTGATCATTACAAAACGCTTTTATGGCGAAGACTAATGAAAACCAGATTCATGAATTCGTTGAAAAAATTTTCACCTCAAAACTGGCGGGATATTATTCAAAAGATATCGAAGAACTGCGTGATAAGTGACAGCAAGTCATTGCAAATAATGCAGAATATATAATTGAATAGAGTGTAATTACACTTTATTTTTTTGAAGAAAAAAGTTGATAAATAAAAACAGAAAATGTTTATGACCCAACCTAATATCTGCCAACTCCTTTCAGAACAGAAGGGATTATGGATCATCACAATTTTTTTTATTACCCCAAATGTTGGCTCATGAATTTAGTGACATAGTAATTGCGAGTTCAATCCCTGACCCAGGCAGTGCATACTTGGATTCAATGAAAACAGGTGGAGCAATAAATGAACGGTACTAAAATAAGAACTAAACAAACATCCCTAAACAAGAACAGCGGAAAGAAAACAATCTACCTCCGTAGATTAAATAAAGAGTTCAGTTAAAAATTCCCTCAAGTTACTCGGATCGAAAGCACCCGATTAAGGCAGGTTGGCCACAAAATAATAACAACAAAAATTAGGAAAATAGTCCGCATATAAATAATGAAAGGTGGGGAGTATGAAGAGAATATTGTAAGGATAAGACGGATAGATAATGATGACGCTTGATTTGAAGAGGTCAAGTTTGTAGGGTTACTGTTAAAATGGTCATGAGGTGTGTGATATGAATGAAAGGGGAGATGTTAGGAAGAGATATTTATAAAGATAAGGAGGATAGATAAAGATTGACCCTTAACTTCAAGAGGTCAAGATTGTAGTGTAAAGAGTTAGTGTTAAAATTGTTATGATGAATGAGGTTTGTGATACGAATGAAAGAGAAGACGGTAAGAAGGATAACGATAAGGAGGATAAAATACGATTGTTTTATAATTGCGTTAATTTTTCCAAAGAAAATTACCAGAATTGGCGAAGTTTTGTTGATTGGTTTTGACATTAACGAAGAAGAAAATAAGCCTCGTTTTAGATATATCAACTGTTCTTTTTTTTCATTTTAAACATGCGATTTAAACGCGATATATATTTTTGCAGTTTATAGAAAAGATAATCAGGAAAGTTTTTTTCATGAATCTAAATAAGATGGACGACATGGAGATCTTTCTTTACTGGAAAATATGTCTTTAAATCACAGATAACAGAACTATGGCTTTTCTTGATAAGTGCCGGGTACCAAATGGTCAAATATTGTTAAAAAAAACATTTAATGTCAAAAATTATATACAGGATGCAATGAATAAATTACGCAAAAAATGAAAATAACACTGACATCTCATTTTAACAGATATATTTAACAAAATTACATAAAAATATTTTGAAATACTAAAGAGTAAGTTCTATCAATAAAATCGCCATTGGCTTCAGCCAAGGACCCCCGAAGACTTTGGAATCTGCTGCAACTCTTCTAGATCATCTCCCTGGTGAATGCTGTCATAATCCTTGCCTTAAGTTTTGTTACAAGGAATTTTGTTGGTCTTTCGCTTAACTTCTCTCCACACATAATAATCAAGGGAGTTGCAGTTTAGGGAGGTAGGTGGCCAGATGTAAGAGGTGATGTGATCGCAGAGATTGTCTGACAGCCATGACTGGGTTATCCTGCTTGTGTGACATGGTGCAGAGTCCTGTTGCCAGACACAGGGTCTTCAAACAACCATCCTCTTCACCCAGGACAGCACAACCTCTTCAAGACAATTGATGTCGTCATCCTTGTTGAGTCTGTGGCCCTCAGTAAATTCTGAAGTTTTTTTCTTATCAGAACGATCAGAGTGAGTTTTCCAGCCTGCCGTATCTTCGTAATCGCCATTAGAATCATCCATCTCTTTACGAATCCACTGCACTCTCATCAGATTGACACCCAAATACTCTGAAATGTTCGTATTGGAGCTTCCGGTAAGAATGCCAAGCACTACAGCATGCCATTTCCAAATTTTTGACGTAGTGAATTGCGTCATGGTGTTATTTTTATCTAACAAGTGGTGCCCAACTAACTTTACTATACTATGCAGTCGACAAAATCAAAAACAAGCTACGCGCATGCGCGAAATGAAAAATAAAAAAATGGTGATAATTTACCCTCCGTACCTTGTATATGTGGGTGGAATTGACGTCACTTATAATTATACACCGAAAGAAACGCCTGAATTTAAATTTATCTTTTATTGAGTAGATTTGTAAAGAAAGTTGAAATGCAGTATAAACTTGAAAACCAACGCACTTTCTGTACATTTTCGCCTTAGTAAACTAATTCCTCTTTTAAAGTGACATTAATCGGAAATTATGGTCAAATGAATGATGATGACTAATGGCTTTTTTATTTATATTTAATAAACCGGATGCACTTTATACGTAACTGAATATATTTATACTAGCTATGATACCCGGCCTTTTCGTGGGTCAAACCACAAAATTGTACTACCGTAATGGTCCTAATTAAAGCAGTTTAATAGGTTTAAACATTATGGTAATCATATATTTCATACCGATGTTTGTTTTTTTGTTAATTTTTTTTTATATATAACAAGATTCACCCTGTACAAAGCCCGGGGATCACTTGCAGTAGAGTGTTACGCTAAGAATCAATTTATACGGGTAGGAGGTGGGAGATAACCGTTAACCATGGACTGGAACAGTTTAAAATTGTAGTAAACTGGGAAAAGTGCCTCTTGGGAGTCGGTTCCACAAAGCAGTGGTTTGCGGGAAGAAGCTGTTGGAGTGGAACTTACTTCTTACTGATGGAATATGGAAGGAATGTGGGGATTTAGCTACAATATATTTGGCATGGCATATCCTAGCCATGAAGGTTAGATCTAACGGAACCAAGGAATATAGTTCGTCCGAGCACTTTTAGAGAAAGTAGGGCAGTAAGAGGCTCACCACATCCCGGCCTGTGAAATAAAAGTTGCAGGGTGGAAAATAATTCTTCACCCAAAAGGACTCGGAGACGCTTTTGAACTCTATTGAGAGCGGAAAGTGAGTACTAGGCAACTCCCGCCGAAATATGACAACAGTACTCCATTTTTGGCCTGATCTGGCTCTGTATTTTAATATCTGCCTATCCGTGTAGCATAGTGGCTACTGGCATAGAAAGAAAATTAAATCGACGTGCCGAGTTTAAATTCCAGCTGAAGCAGTTTCACTCATTTTTGTACAAATACCCTTAGCAAAAGTATGGATCTATTTCTTCTCCCCACTGGAGAGGAGTTAATAGTTGGACAAACTGGGTTACTAAGAACTCCGCCCAATAAAACCCGGAAAACACGACAGCGCCACCTACCGTGAAGAGACCGTGGCCCCATGTTCCACAGAAAGTCTTCGTGATACACGCTTAGGCGATCATTTATCTTTCGATACATGACTGACGAGGCAGACGTTTTCCGCAGTAGGTTGCCATTTCTTTCTGCAGTAGATAAGTTGCCATCCAAACCTACAGAACACGGTCTGTTCTGCTATTTACCGATACCTGGGGGAAGAAGAAGAGGATTCATACATTTCCCAAAGATATTAGCAAGTAAGTGAATGTAACAGATTCGACTGGAATTCGAACTCGGATCTCAATCTGAGTCGCTATCCATTACTCCACCGTGCCTTCTTCAGGGTTGACGTATATAAATATATATAATATGATAATTTATATACGTCAGATTTTCACAATAAAATTAAAATAACAATGTCAACATTGCGTGCTTTCCTATACTCACAAGCCAATATCAAAATACAATGGTTGGTTTCACTTTCCGGGCAAAAAGTGTCTTTATCTTTTATTAAATCAATTTAATTATTAATGCCATCAACATAACAATTGCTTATTTATAAAAAAAAATCACAAAGGAGAAGAGTGGAAATGAATGAATATTTTTTAAATATCTTTAAGCTGGTTATGTAAATTAATTCAATTAAACATGAATCGTGAATTTCAATAAGATATGACACATGCTATTAAATATAAATAATAACTCTGCATTTATTTGTGTATTTATCATTTATATGGAGGCGTGCTGAAGTAATGCTTAGCGGCTCGGATTAAGGAATCAGAGAGCCGAGTTCGAATCCCAGTCGAGTTCATTACATTCAGTTACGTGATCTTGGGAAAGGCATGAATCCATCTCTTCTCGACTAGTTATAGATAAATAGCAGGACAGACTGTGTCCTATAGCCTTGGATGGCAACCAGTCTAGAAGAAGAAAACTGTGCATTAAAAACCAGATCGCACTAAAAGTGTTTATACATGCGACTGGGGGATCTCGCTTGTGAATCCAAATTCCCACTGAAACTCCAATTATTCGTCCTCAGATGCGGTGTTTAAAAAAAGAACTGAAGGTTCCACGGGGAACGAGAGGAACTAACTGCAACTACTTATACTTACCTTCAGGTTGTACCTGTTCTAAGAGGACCATGTTCAGGGTTAATTTCTCATGCCAGACGCATCGTAATGCGTGAGTTTCAAAATAACTAAGCAGTATTTGTCTCTAATTTCAGAGACAAATCGGATTCAACTCTGCAATATATATTACTTTATATATTAGATAGTAGATATTCTTTATATAACTTTAACTTAATTTTGTCTCTAATATGTCTTCAATAAAGATTATACAGTATTTGTCTCTAAAGTCTTTATCAAAGATTATACAGTATTTGTCTCTAATATGTCTTAAATAAAGATTACACAGTATTTGTCTTTATTAAAGATTATACAGTATTTGTCTCTAATATGTCTTTAATAAAGATTATACAGTATTTGTCTCTAAAGTCTTTATCAAAGATTATACAGTATTTGTCTCTAATATGTCTTAAATAAAGATTATACAGTATTTGTCTTTATTAAAGATTATACAGTATTTGTCTCTAATATGTCTTTAATAAAGATTATACAGTATTTGTCTCTAAAGACTTTATCAAAGATTATACAGTATTTGTCTCTAATGTGTCTTTAATAAAGATTATGCAGTATTTGTCTCTAATGTCTTTATTAAAGATTATAAGTATTTGTCTCTAATATGTCTTTAATAAAGATTATACAGTATTTGTCTCTAATGTCTTTATTAAAGATTATAAGTATTTGTCTCTAATATGTCTTTAATAAAGATTATACAGTATTTGTCTCTAAAGTCTTTATCAAAGATTATACAGTATTTGTCTCTAATATGTCTTAAATAAAGATTATACAGTATTTGTCTTTATTAAAGATTATACAGTATTTGTCTCTAATATGTCTTTAATAAAGATTATACAGTATTTGTCTCTAAAGTCTTTATCAAAGATTATACAGTATTTGTCTCTAATGTGTCTTTAATAAAGATTATGCAGTATTTGTCTCTAATGTCTTTATTAAAGATTATAAAGTATTTGTCTCTAATATGTCTTTAATAAAGATTATACAGTATTTGTCTCTAATGTCTTTATTAAAGATTATACAGTATTTGTCTCTAATATGTCTTTAATAAAGATTATACAGTATTTGTCTCTAATGTCTTTAATAAAGATTATATTGTATTTGTCTCAAATATGTCTTTAACAAAGATTATACATTATTTGTATCTAATGTCTTTAATAAAGATTATAAAGTATTTGTCTCTAATGTCTTTAATAAAGATTATACAGTATTTGTCTCTAACATGTCTTTAATAAAGATTATACAGTATTTGTTTCTAATATGTCTTTAATAAAGATTATGCAGTATTTGTCTCTAATTCCAGAGATACATCGGGTTCAACTCTGCCATGTGTCGCATATCGTTCGCGTAAACCAAAACGTATTTATTTGATGCCACAGATTTCATTAATTTTCAAAGTTTCGAGTGAAAATACACACAACAAAGACTGAGCTTTACATATTAGATAGTAGTTATTTAATATATAACTTTTTTTTCGAAACAAGTCTGAATAATAAACTAAGTGTGACTCCTGAGTGTTTAAATGATTTAGGTTAACCTCAATGAAAGTTTCAAACGCGATGCATTCAAATCATGTTCTTTTAAAATCTACAACACAGAATGCATATCTCCTGTCTTCCCTATTTAAAAGGGAATCTGATAAATTAAATTACGAAGAAGAGTTAATGATGACTTAACCTAAGCTTTTCACAATCAAACTGATCGTTTGAGGTGAGCGTAAAGAAGGTTCGGTCCGGCTGTGTTCCGATTTGCCTTCAATTGGTATTTTACGAACCAGAGTTCGGAATATAAATGTCTTCCAATGAAAAGCTCACCGATGGAAAACTGGAATCCATAAAAAGGCAATGTCTTGAAGTAAAAAGCGCAGCAGATGTTGTGACGATTAGTTCCGTGTCGTTGGTCTTCGGCTGCTGCTCAAACGAGGCTGGTCGCGAGATTTCGTGGTCGAAGTCACATCATTCGTTTGTCTTTTACGCGAATACATACAGGAGAATTCTTCGGGTTTTATTTGGATCAATCATTCCCGCATTACTTGATCCCCCATCAAATGTGCTTCCAATACAGTGCCGTGTGCAAAAGCTGGCGGAGTAGGGAAATCAAGCGCGAACGAGCGGGTGAAGTAGTTCAAGTTGAAGACCTCTTTTTTGGCTTTTGCATCAAATGGCGGGAAGACACATTAAGAACAAAAGACACAAATATTTAAATTATTGATGTTTTTTTGTCGAACGCAAGCTCTGCTTTATTTTTTCTTCGAAATGTTTATTAGGTTTTTTATTTGCGTTTATATTTGTTTAGTCCATTTTAGTTAAAAGAAAAAAATATCGCATCGCTGGTCTTATATCAAGAAATCTTACTTTTTTAGAGCTATTTTTATTCCTTGTATTTCCTTCTCCCTTTATTTGCGATGGTCGAGTTATATCTGCCGATATTTACACGTTAAGGTATTATAGAATTTGCCACTACACAAATAATGGCTAGCTACTCGTTTCCGAGTATGTCAGTCCGCTAGGCTGCCTATCTAATTCCTGTTGCTGACGCCTGCTCAGGCATATTTTAATTATTCAACGCACGCATAGCCAACGTGTGGTTTATATCACACGTGACCGTCGCTGGAGTCTGAGTGGAGTAATTATTTATTAAATTAGGGGTAATTTGCACCGTAAAATGAGTTGATATCTTTTTCAAGGTGGGAAAAAGTGGCGGGAATTTTTCTGGGAGCAGACATTCCTAAACAGAAAACAAGTGATAAAAAAACAAACAACGGACGATAGTCAAGTAAAAAAAATCGTGATACGTTATTTCGTTTAAGACTTCCTTCTTTTTAATGTCATGTGTGATACGCGCTTAGGCGATCATGTATCATTCGATACATGGCTGACGAGGTAGTTTTTTTTTCTGTAGCAGGTTGCTATTTCTTTCTGCGGTAGACCAATTGGCATTCAAGGCTATAGAACCCGGTCTATCTTGTTATTTACCCATAGCTGGGGGAAGAAAAAGAGGTTTCATATCTTTCTCAAGTAAGTGAATGCAATGGATCCGACTGGAATTCGAACTCGGCTCTTCGATTCCTCAATCCGAGCCGCTATCCATTATTCCTCGGTGCCTTCATCGGACTTAACTGATGTTTTGATCATTTAATATGTTCAGCATTTAATTCAAATGAAGTCTTAAAAGATGAAGTGTATCAATTTTTTTTCCACTTTATTATTAATTTTCCTAACATTTTCGCCCACATATGAGTGAATGGGAATATATCAATAAATCCCTAGCCTTACACGGAGTGAATTAGCTGACTTTCAATCTGAAGTGTCCATTGTATAATGTTCAGTATCTTTTATTAAAATTAACCACCGAATTAAGTACATTAATAATAAAGGAGATTATGTTAAAAATAGATATTTGTATGACACAGGGAATGGCTTGTTTTTTTTGTTTTTTTTCATCAGGCTTCCGACTTATTGATTTACCTACGTATATAGACGTAGATAGGAGACACGGTGCAGTAATGGATATCAGCCATGATTGAGGAATCGGAAAACCGAGTTCGAATTCCCATTGGATCCATTACATTTACTTAGGTGCTAATACCCTTGGAAAAGGTATGAATCCTTTTCTTCTCCACCCCACCCTCCAGCAGAACAGATTAGGTTCTATAGCCTTGGGTAGCAGCCGGTCTAAGAGAAGGTAACCCTGAATTCAAAACCAGCCTCAGACTCAGTCAGGCTATCTTTCCCAAAAAACACCACTTCTAATGCGGCTGCAGTACACATGGTGCCTCTACGACCCTCCATGTTTTGGGGATATTTTTTTTTAATATATTTAATAAAACATATTGTAATGTATCTAGTAGTTGTAAGTATATTATGTTGAATAGCAAGACTGAGAGATACAAGTGTTTTTGCGTTCGTTTCGAATCGGTTTCCTTATGTTCAGCATTTGTATGACAAATCAGTCCTACCGGGTAATTACTGAGAGCCATTCAGCCACTATAGCTCTTTTTCTTCTTCTTCTTCTTCTTCTTCTTCTTCTTCTTCTTCTTCTTCTTCTTCTTCTTCTGTGCCATATTTCTTCAGGTCGCGCGCGATCATGGCTCTACACAATTTTTCTGCTCTTTGTAACTCATAGTGAAGTTTGTGTCCCCTAGTTCCTGTTCTTCTAACACAATGCGCAACCTCGTTAGGTAGGTTATGCGCTGTTTCCCTTTGTCCCTTTTACCTTCAATATGCCCTGTGAGTATCAAATTTTCCAAGCCCTCTTTCCCCAGTATGTGCCCTAGAAATTTCAACTGTCTCTTTCTCATGTTATGTATAATTGTTCTTTTTGTTTCCATTTTCTCTAAATTTCATTGTTACTCAAATGTTCGGTCCATGGCATTCTTAGCATCCTTCTGTAGAACTGCATTTCTGTTGCTTCATGTCTCTTCTTCATCCGTGAGGAGATTGTCCAACATTCACCACCATACAGAAGGACTCATATTACATAACATTTCAGTACACTTTTCTTTGTTTCTAACGAAATCTTTCAGTTTCTTAATACTTTGCTTAGCTTTTGGAAGGCATCTTTCTCTATACCAACGCGCCTTCGGATTTCAGTGTCGCATTTTCTGCCCTCTGTTAAAACATTTTATAGCTATTTATATTTTTGTATTTTCTGGATTTGGGTATCTATAATTCGTTTCTAATTCGCATGTTGAACTGTTTCTTTTACCGACAACACTAGCTCTCACCAAGGTCAAGTGATTACGAATAAAAGTAATGTAACAAGCTTTAACGATTTAAAAAAAAATGTTTTTTTAAAAAACAATGTCTCGCTGCTTTTATATTTACAAAAAGATCGATATTATTTTTCGATGAATATTTAGTCATGTTCATGTTACGAAGAGTAACTAGAGCGATTGAATTTTATTTTACAATAAGCTTTCAAAAGTCCTCCGGATTAAACTGGTTGGGCTTTTGAAATTTCTTGTATTGTTTTTTGTCCGATTTGAACAACAAAGACGACGGGTAAAGAAGCAGATGTGTCGATAGCTTTTTTCATATGAAAAATTAACTCACCTGTACAAAGGTTTGCTTATGACTCTGCGTCTCGAATATGACCCTACCATGACCCCTAAAGTAGTCCTACTAGTGTCGGATTACAGTCACTAACAAGCACGCAAGCACAAACGCTCGTTCTTTACCACCCGTAATTATAGAAGACTTCCGTCTTCTCGTACGTTCACCCAGCCCTCAGTTTTTGTACTACTTATGTATCCGTTCCAGCAATTAAAACGCCGTCGAATGTTTCGAATGAATAAGTGTTATCAGTTATTATACTAGTTTTTTCTCTCTCCCTCTCTCCCTCTATTTCTTTCTCCATCTCACTCCCTCTATCTCTTACTCTCTCTCTCTCCCTCTCTCAATTATTCAATGTTACAAAGGAAAGGCTTCTAAAGCTCTTTAGTTATAACAAACGAGTAAAAGATCTTTTAATCTCGCTCGTTCACACGTTAAAACTATTAGCACGAGACTTTACGTTTAATGCTTAGTTTCGTGGTCCTTTGGGGCCGTGAAGTTGTAGTGGAAGGAAATAAGGTGAGATACAGAAGAAATAAAGAAGAAAAGAAAAGAAAAAAAAGTGTTAAACAACTTTTGATGACCGAATACAAATGTAAACATCAGGAAGTTTTGCTGAGTATATCGTCAGGGTGATTCTAAGTTGTCATATGCCCTTTTCTTAAGTTTTTTTCTTCCTTTTTTGAAATAAGCAAGCATATCCTTATGACATAAATAATATTCAGATACAAAATCATTTTGTGCAATTATCCCCCTTTTTTCGAAAGAAATATGCATTTTTATTCTGACTTTTTTTTTTCTCCTTTTAAAAAATTCACCCACTTTTTTTCAGCATTCCACAAATGATATCGATTGAAACGTTGTTTTGAAAAATATGTAAGCATTAATGCGAAACTTTTATGAAATTATATTACAGGCTGCGGTAAAATGATCTGACGCATTTGTAGGTTTAGTAAAAGCGAAATACAGAAAAGAACAAAAAGTGAGTTTTATTTTCGAAATGTACATATACTGCCATTTTGTTTCATTACTTTTTAAAAATTAAATCAGCGTGTTTCCGTGCAGAACGTCATGGGGACTGAAGCTCTTACCGCTGTCACATTTTCCGGAGTTCTGGCGGTCCGAGGTCGACCACTAGCTCTGAAGTCGGCATCCTATAATAAAATGTTATATGTGTTTCGAATAGGCACGGGATCATGTCTACAAAGCCTGAAACGCACAAGGAACGCTCTTTGTGTTGCAGTTACCGATTCGTTGTTCTTGATAAACGTTTCCACAATGAAAGTACGATGCTCGTCCATCCAGTTCATGTTGGCAACTGAAAATGAAAGAAAACAAAATGGCGTTATATGTACATTTTGAAAATAATAACACATTTTTTGTTCTTTACTTTATTTCACTTTTATTAAACTTACAAATGTGTCTGATCATTTTGCCGCACCCTATATTTAATCTATATACGTGAGAAAACATCATTAATTATTCTCTAAATGTATGAGGGGTTACCCCACCTTCTTTGCTAGGGTACTTCACTTAATGTTCGCTAGATGGTTTGATAATCGTATAACATTAAAGGGCATCAACTCCCCCCCCTCTCCCTCTCTCTCTTTTCTCTCTCTCTCTCTCTCTCTCTCTCTCTCTCTCTCTCTCTCTCTCTCAGTCACAGTGTGCGGTAGGTAGAAGATGTGTCCATTATTTCCTTTCGGGGAGACTTAGTCGAATGGCCAAGTCTACTACAGGATTTCACCCAGATGAAGTACTATTTTTCACTTTCGATAGGGTCCAAAAGCGTTTCCGCGTCCTTGTGGGTGACAAATTATTTCCCACCCTGAAATTACTCCTTCACAGACGAAATGTCACTGCTCTATCGCTATTTCCATGGAAAGTGCTCAGATGAATCATATTCCCTGGTTCCACCAGTTCTAACGGTTAGGACCCGCCATACCACGCGCATTGTAACGAACCACCTTCTTGCTCTCTGTATTTCATTCGTGAGAAGTAAGTTCCACTCGAGTAGCTTCTTCTCACGAACCACTGCTCTGCAAAACCGACTCCCAAGAGGCCTTTTCTAGATCGATACAACATGTGCAAGTCTAGGGTTATCTTCCCCACATAACCGTATAAACAATGCCTCTTACTCTATGACCTTCTACCTCGAGTGGCTCTTGGCCTTATACAGAGTGGACTATCCTTCTCCCTTTGTCTGAGCTTTGTAAACACAGAAGTATATTTTCTCTCCTCTTGAATCATGTTGTTCTATGAATAAATATATGTGTAAAACTGCAAAATCCTACATACGTGTTGAATTCATTTATTTAGAATGATTTCAATCTTCCTACATGACACAGACTCTTCCCCTTTATAAATAGCAACTGATTCCACTAAAATACAATGACGGTAATCATTTTTAGTGCAATGTCCCTTCTGGTTTTAGACAATCATGTCTCTCCATAGCTTCCTTTTGCTTTTTTATCTGTAAATTGTCATGATTTTGTTGACTTCTCCACAGTTTTGATTTTACCGTTGTCCTCAAAGCCCAGTTTACCTTCGTTTATTTTACCCATTGCTACTACATATAATAATTTGAGTTTTCACACCATTAGTATTCAGTGGTTATTTCTGAGGATAAAATGGCAGCAAGTGTTTTCTACATTGCAGGACTCTTCATTGTAGCCTACTTATACTTCCACTTAGATGGGCCTGCCACGACCACTGATTTTAAATTACTCCAAAGTTTTTTGTAGAAGTTCAAAGTCCCTGATGATACGTTCACCAAGGAAGATTCTAGCCGATGTATAAAACCTTGTACTGTATGTCTCAAATGGTAGTCGCTTGCACAGTTCTCAGTGGGTCACCTTCCCCACCCAGCCATGTTTATTCTTCCATCTTTTAAGTCATTAAAATCCACGCTCATTTCAACAGTCTGCATTTGCTTTACGCCTGTGCCATATCTATCCTGGCTTTTATGTAACTGGTCTTTATGGCATTGATTTGGTTTGCTATTAAGAATGACTTGGTTTCTCCCTTTCCAAGCTTCCCTTAAGTAGTCATGTCCATGTCAATTGAAATTTTTCAATCTTTTCGGTATGGATTATCTTCATTACGCATAAGCGAATATAACGAACCCAACTGGAATTGGAACTCGGCTCTCGGATTGACACTTCCGAGCCATTATCTATTACATTACTCGTACATCAAAACTTACAGCACTGGGTATTTTCCAAACGGTCATTCATCTAGGTACTGACCAGGCTCAACGTTACTTAATTTCAGAAATCCTAGGCATTGAACTTGTTGGCAGCCTTTATTACAGACTAAAATTTCTTACTTCTTTTATGATCTCTCACACAGATCATCATCCAGTTTTCTGTAGTTTCCAGGTATCTTTTAAGACCGATTATTATTGTTTTATAAGACAGTTCTAGTTGAACTAATCCTCTGCCTCCTTCGGATCTGGGCTCATACAGACGATCAGCCTTGGGATGATGCCTGTGTTTTGGCGTCCATTCGCTTAGTGTCAGCTGTTGTCCAGTTAAGTATGTTGAAACTGTACTGTACCAAGGAAACAGCCAAGGTTTTTGTGGCTGATCTTCCGTGTTTTTTTTTAATACCAGCGACACAAGCCTGTAGTATACTATTCTTACTTTTTACTTCATTTGGACATCTTGTATTCCATCTCCTTCGCTAATTTCTAGATATCTATAGGCTTCTTCTTGTTCTAGTTCCCTAATCTTTGTGACAAAATCGAGATCTATTGACTGTGTATCTGTAATTCCCCCTTTCTTGAATGTTACTTTTGCACATTTATCTAATTCTAAATTCATATCTATATTGTCATTGAATCGTTTTACAGTATTGATGAAATCCTTCAACACATTGTCGTCTTTGGCAAAGATTTTAAGATCATCCATGTAGAGTAGATGATTGAACAATATCTTGTTTATTTTGTACCTAAAGCTATTATTGTTTAGTTCATGTGTAAGTTGGATTAAAGACAGACAATGCAGAAGGGGTCGCAAGAAGCCTCCTTGATTTCTCGTTGGATATTCAGGCGGTTGGAAGTAGCAGTGACTTTGGTGTGATTTAGTTATAATCTAGTTTTCCACATTCCTATACTGTGTTTAAGGAAATTTACTATCACTGAGGAGACTTTTTTATCTTTTCAAACCCTTAAGGATACAGGAGTGTAGCACACACATACTATCCAAGACTTTACGGTAATCTATCTAAGCTATGCTGAGATTTCTATCCTATTTCATGCACTTGTCCAGGTTCGTTTTGTCTATCATTAGTTGACTTTTGCAACCATATGAACCTCTCTTGCATCCCTTCTGTTCCAAGGGAAAAATGTCGTTTTCTTCGAGAAAAGAGTAAGTACAGGTCGCCAGAATACATGAGATCAATTTATACGTGATGAACAAGCATGTTATTGGTCTATAACTTATCGGATCATCTGTTTCACCCGTTTTTGGTAGGAGATATGTAATACCATCAGTGATCCATTCTGAGACTTCACTGGGCTTACTAATAAGCATTGATAAAATCTGCGCAAGGGTTTTTTTTTGAATTGATGACAAATAATAGAGCCAAAAATTGGATACCTTGTCATTTTCTGAGGATTTCCATTTTGGGGATTTCGTTAGAGTTTACCTAACTTTAGTCTTGGTCATATTTTCCCATTCTTGTAGAGGTTTATCCATCATTCTTTCTTCTTATCGTTGGATTCACTTAGCATTGGAATTATATTCATTTGAGCAGCTCTAAATATTCTCCCAGAATGTTTTCACTTTTTCAATATATGATAGCTTTTTGACATGTATAACTGCTTTTGGAATTTCCCTGTAAAATTTCTTAAAGTCCATTTGAAATATTTTATTTTGGCGATAGAACATACAACGTGTTTCGCATCGTCCTGTTCTCTGTTCCTTTCACTACAGTTTCGGTTTTAGTATTTCCTTGATTTGTGGAATGTTATTTAGCAATTTAATTTTATATCTCCGCTTGATCTTTCTGCATTTGTGTGATATTTGGTTTTCTTGAGACATTTGGGTTTCTTGAGATCTCATTCAGTACCGATAACTCTGATATCTGATTTCCTTTCTTTCTCGCTTCAGTTTTGTCTTCTAAGCTGGCTCTTTTGGTCTGTTGTTTGATATTTTCATTGTCTTGACACCAAGCTTCACAGGAGCCGCTAAAGCTGTTGCGTATATGACATTATTAACTTCTGTGATGTTTCTCAGTGCTTTGTCCGTTAACAGTGTTTGCAGTGCAGCGTTGTATATTTGCACAATATGTTTATTGGACTTTCTGATATGAATTTTTTGAGCTGGTCTCTGTCTGACATTTGCGTGCGAGTTACTCTGCTGAGTACTTGAATGATATCGTTTTTCGCTTCGGTAATTTCACCTCTGTTGTTTTCAAGGAATTCTACCCTAATGTCGTTTGATTCATCTTTAGTGACTTAAGCTGGATAACTGCAGTTTATGTCGCTGGTAGATTATTCTGTTTTATTTCCTGAGAGATTATTATTTCATATCTCATTTATTTTAGATTTTACCTCATCCTCTGTCATATTATTTATTTCCAGTCTCATCTCTTTATTGTTTGAGTGATGGGTTATTGTATTCTGTCTTATATTTACTTTTATCTGATCTATTTCCGTATTTGATAGTCTTTTATTTCACACGATATTCCTGTAGAAATTGGTAAGCATGCTTGGGTTGAGATAGGTTCTTATGCCATTTCCTACCAGAATTCTTCATACTTGGTATATCTGATCCGTGATGTTCTCTTGTGGATTTTCGAGTGCGGTGAAAAAGGATGTCATAACTTGTTCATAAGCTTCGCGAGTTCATTTTCGTTCGCTTTCTTTTTACTAAGTGATTTGGCATCGAGTCCTAATTTGATTACGAGGTGTCTCATCTTTGTTGGAAGAGTTTGTTCCAGTGACAGATTTTTCGGCCCCAGACTAGTTCCTCTCTGAGGGACGCGGCCGATCAGGTATGAGTATTTGTTTGTAAGCATTGCGATTTGTATTTTTTGCGTTTTATCCTTGACCGCCAAGCGGTAATTTTGTTCAAGATACCAGCTCAAGGTCGACTGTCTACAGAGCTCGTCCTATCTATGGAATAGAGGGTGGGTATATTCAAATATCCAGGGTTCGAAAGTTCATCATCTAATACCTGCATTCAGGGAGGTAACATAGCGAATTTAAATTAGATGAAAGGTCCGAGGTGTACATACATTAGGGTTTATCACGAAAGAAAAAAAAATAAAAGGAAAAAACAAGTAACCAGCCAATACGACCCTTACTCATACGTATACATATACACACATATACATACCCACATATGTATACATCGACAAAAATACACTATGTTTAGATAGAAAGTGGTATTCATTTACAGAAAGACCCGCTGGAAGTGTGGAAAGATTTTTTTAAATTAAAAATAAGAATAAAAAATAAAATTAAAAGAATATGAAAAGGAAAAAATAAAATTTAAAAAATAAAACCAGACTTAAAATGTAATTTAATAAAAAAAACGAGCTTACATATTGAAACAGGAACGAAGAGTGGCATCGGCCAAAGATTAAAATGTTCAACTTGCCGACGCCAATAAGAGTGATAATAATCAAACTTCGTAGGATAGATCACCACCCACATGTACTAAA